CGCGGCCGTCGGTGTGACGCCGCGGTAACGCGGGGGAAGCGGGCAGTGCCGCCGTGCGCCCCCGCCTGCGAGGTGCCGAACGGGGGAGCGCGTTGTTCTGAAGCCCGAGGGGCAGTAAAATCAACGTCTCCTCCCGGGACCCGTTACGTCACGGAGAGAGGCACAGCGAAAAGCCGGCCAACCGGAGAAAAGAGGCGCCAGCCCAGCAGCACTGCGTTCAGTTCAGCTGTATTCAGTTGCAAACAGTGCAGGTTTCATCACAAAGTTTCACTGCTTAGTAATTTCTTTTAAAACAATAAATAGGTCACTGAGAGCATTGACACATTTAAAATCGCAAAGGTACAAAGACTTTGGGTATCGGACGCTTCAGACTTTGGGAGAAGGTTGGGCAAGCTCCGGTCTTGCGCAGTCCGTTACAAACACACCGGTGTTACCGCCGTTCTGAGCACGTAAGGAACAAGGCACGGAAAAGCAAATACAAAAAGACTTCCCGAGAACATTCAGACCGTTCAAAGCAATTCTGTGCAACAGCATCGGGCTCAAGAAAGGCAAATCATAACATATCTGAAAAAATTAGATCACTGTTAAAGAAGGTAACTAACTCGATACAGCCCTGCAAGACACACACAACTCCTGTAAGATGCTGAACATGCTTAAATGGTGGCAGTTAAGCAACTTGCAGGATTGGGCCCTTTACATTTTGAAGTGACCTTACTGGAAAGATAAGACAATTGTTTTATTTCACCTTATAAAATTATACTTTTCAAATTAGTGCAAAGCCTCATGTAAAAATGGAGTTAGTCTAGATGGAATGGAATGCTTCAAAAATTCCAAAGTGCATATATTAAACTGGTTAACTTTTAATCACATTAGAATTCTTCCAATAACTCATGCTTATAGATTTTTCCTTAAAAGTAGCGAAATAAATGTAAGAACAAAAGTACAGAAAAAGGTATATGATGTTCTGCATCTCACGTAAAAACTTTCAAAATCCAAAAAGTACACTGGGTGTCAAAAATCTCCGGCAGAAATTATTAAATAGCAGATTTCTGTTAGCATAATAAGACAATATTTAAAATAAGGCTTTGGTTAAATAAAAAGTCTGCTAAACTAGGAATGATGATAAAAGTGCAAAAGTTTCACCAAACACACAACTTCATTTCCAAGGCAGGCGTTACACCTGCCATTTACAAGGGTTTGCATTGGTCTGTCAGCCTGCGCTGTAACAGCTCAGAAACCTATAGCCAAACATGTTCGTCATAGGCAAACTAAATACATGGGCTCCAATCCTAGAACTTGTTTCACCCAGAGATAGACTCAATTATACGAGTGGCAGTATATCCATCTATAGCATCATTCCCTTGCACATTTGGCGGGTCAAGGCCCTGTATCTGTAATGTTTGATTATTATAATGAGTTCACCAATGAGTTGACTCATTTCTCAGCACTTCCTAAACAGAAGTCCTCTGCTGGCAACTGGCTGGTTGCAGCCGATTTTCTTACAAATAGAATTCTTGTAACATATGGGTAACGAAGATGATTTTTAAAAAAGTGCTTAATATTGGTCCGTAAGAACAACGTGTACATGTCACCTTGAGACCAAACACTTTGCCATGGTAGATATCCTGCACCTTGTATTTATTGGTGCACTGGTAGTTTGCTTGAGGAAAAAAATCGTCTGAGCCTACAGAGGAGAATGTCACCTTCATAGAGAAAATAATTTACAGTTTCACAGTCACAACACATGCTCCAGCTCTTCCTAAGCACAATGGTGCAACCTGTAAGCAAAACAAACAAAAAAACAAAACAAAAAAACCAAAGAAAAATAAATCAGTGAGATAAATGCAGTCAGCTTTAAGTATTTTTTCCCCTTAAAACTAACAGTGTTTAGTTAATGCTTGTAATAATAGTTGTACAGCTGCAGCAGAGTGGCAATATCACCATATCTGTTAACGTGACTTAAAAAACCAGCAAATTGGCCCAAAACTTGGATAAAAACCCACAGAAAAGGTGAAGATTTTTTTATATGAGAGAGCAAAGCACTTTGAAAACAATAGCAAACCCTGAGAATATGACACAGTTCGTATTGATAGTTTCAATTACTTGGTTTTAAGGAAAAAGAATCCTTTGTTATGGTACAAACTGGACACCTGAGCCAGACAGTCTGACAACTGAGTAATGGTTGGCAAAATAATGCATTTTTCTCTCAAACAGAAAATGCCAAACATGACAGGGGCAACCTCTCCTTTTTACTTGAAGACTTGATAAAATCCTTTAAGAGTTCTTGAAATCAGTATAGTTTCCCAGCCTGTATTTTTTTTTTGTAAACAGAAGTTACTTCTGGCAAGACCTGTTTCTGCTGAGATTCTGTTGGACTTGAAATGAGGAAGGTAAGTTCTAACACCCACCTTAGCTTCCCCTTTTAAACTTCCTAGTATTGGAATGTGCATGAATAGCACGCTAAGTGCTACAGGGAATATCCTGAAGGCATAAACACCTTTTTTTTTTTGTCAAGTCCCCTATTTTTTTTTTCCCCCCAGGAACAACAGGCTTATCCTGAGCTGTCTGTGGCTCTGAAACTACAGTTGAGAAAATTCCTCTACCCTCTTGAATTGTGTGTGGATGAAGTGGTGGCAGACTGCTGACATAAGAGAGAAGGAAGGCACACAGACACTCCCAAATCCCTCCAGGAAGGGTTCAAAACTGTCCTATATATTGGGATCACAGGATCCAGTGAGATATAAAGAGTCAAGGCTAAGGAGACAAAAGCTACATACAGATGGCCACCACCTAGACATTGTGTGAGATTCATTTAGATGCAATGGTGAGAAGCACTGTTTCTCTCCTCTGGTACACTTTTTTTTCTTTAGCGGGAGAAACAAGGCCATGATTATCATCACCAGTACTGCCACTGAAGGCCCCAAGCTCTGATGAGCCTCCTAGATGACTTATATTTTAAGATTTTGCAGCAGTGTGAAGTGGGGGGAAATGCACAGCTCAGTTTTCTGTGTAACAAAGATCTTGATAGAGAGCAGTTCAGTTCTCTTTTTGCATTAGCAATTTGGGGCTATTACTGTGATAGCATACTCAGGAGGTCAGAATTCAGCTGCCTAAATCCTGGTGTCTAATACTATTCTAGATGACCTTGGACATTCATCCTGGCCTGCAACTGGACTCCAGAAGGGCCTTGGTCTCCTCCCATAGGTTCTGTGCTGTATCTGCCAGCCTTCTGTGGATGTAGATGCTTCAGAGTATCTCAAATGGCACTAGATACCAAAGGACAGGCTGACCAGGATGTCCTTGTGTGTGCTCTTCCCACAGAAAGATACATTCCAGGAGCTAAGAAAAAGTAGAAGTAACCCAGCTTTGAAGTGGCAGTAATGGTTTATGATTGCGAATTGAAAATTAAAAAAAAAAAATTTTTTTTTTTTAGCTGGATGAAAAGAAATCAGAAAAGATGTCCTGAAAGTTGTACACACTGTACATAGCATTCACATCAGGAAGGGATTATTTATGAAAAGATGACCAAAACCTTGAAGAAATTGATAAACTTGCTGAGAGACACATTAGAGCTAAAACTAATCTACATTTAGCATTTATCCTTACAACAGGGAGTCAGTCATGTAAACAGAACCCTTTATGACAGTTTGGGGAATGTGTCAATACATGTTATTAACAGTAGCTGAAATTGTCAAAGAAAATAGCTATACTCTTGCCAAATAAAGGACAGTTTATTAGAAGTTAACAACTGTCTGCTCAAGAGAAATCATCTCAAGATGGTAGACAAAGGAAAAAAAAAAGACTTAGAACAGACTAGCAACAAGTGCTTCTCAAAAGGAATATTTCAATATTCCTTGTAAAAAGAGGCACACTTGAAATAACAAGATAAGTAGTATTGTATGGTCTGATCAGAAACTATACCTGTGTCCACTCATTTGTCTGGGGATCATAAGACTCCACTGTATTAAGGTATGTTTGACCATCATATCCTCCAACAGCGTACAACTTGTCACCAAGAAGACATACTCCCACTGCATCTCTGCTAATGCTCATAGAGGCCACAGCAGTCCACATATCTGTTTTCGGATCATACCTAAGAGATAATTTGTGTTATGCTCTAAAACTGTTGCCAAAATTCAATTAAAAAACCCGTACTGGACCAGACACTCTCAAGGCAGTAGAAAACAGGTACGATTAGCACAGCACAGATTTGGGTGTTAATTTCAAAGGACTTTTCCCCCCAAATACTCTCTTTGAAAATGACTGGTAACACAGTCAGTACTAGCTACATATCTATTTTGTGCTGCCTTCCATATAGTAATACATACATATACATACACCTGCTCTTACTACATTTTTTATTGTATGTCTAAATGTACCATTCCAGAAACAATTCTGCTGCTACACCACAGCAGAGCAAGTGCTTGCTCTCAGTGATGACTACTACATGTCAAAGCACAGGCAGTTGAAGTTGAGTGTGGTACTTCAAGTTACTTGCCATGAAAGATTAACATTTAAAAAAAAACCCAATCCAAAAAACAGTTTAGGAAAATTCTGGGGGAAATGCAAGACCCTTAAGACAATTCACAGCACTTCTTTAAGCATAGCTCCACATCATCAGAAGCATCAGCACAGTAAAAGACTGATTGTTTAATGAAAAACATTAAATGTGATTCTAGAACAACATCAACACTCTTTACAAGTCAAACTGAGAACTACATAGGAGAGTTCATGCTATTCTTATGTCAAGGAACATATTTTAACCTGACAAAGAGACAAGATTACAGACACTTACAGCAGAAGTGATGTAATCACAGAGCTCTTAAGGGCTCTAAAGAACTATACAAAGAAAATATTTATTTGGCTAGGAGACCATCCTAAGATCACACTTGCTAAAAGCAAGTTTGGAAGATACTAGTCTTAATTTGTTTGCATGAAGAGCATAGATATAATGAGCTCTAACAATTTTATCTGCAGTTCTGTAGTCAAAGTACTACAGAATATTGATGTAGAAAAATATATGGACCTATTGCTTTCTCTTGGCCTTCTAATTATCTGTATTTCTCTAAAAATTTGGTATTTGCTAAAATGTAGTTTCCTATCTGCAAACCTTTCTGGGGTCTTTTTTGGGCCACACTATCAGGACACTGAAAGTTTGAAAATTACACTGTTTCGTGTGGTGGGGTTTTTTTGTTTTGCGTTGGGGCTTTTTTCTTTTTGTTTTTTGGTAGAGGGCAAATCACATCTCCCGGCACAAAGAACTTTAGTAAAAAAAGGTGGATGATGAAGAATGACTGTAGGTGTTGGGAGATAACAGGAAAGAAGAGAAGTTTTGCAATTTGGGGGCAGGGAAAGGAGAGAATTAAAGCATATTTCAGAAATATTTGAAATGCCAGCAAAGACTTAATGCAGTGCATTATGAAGTATTTACTGTCTTTTGAAATCATTTTATGGATCATACATGCTTCTGCAATTTGTAATAGTCATCCATTAATATGTAAAGACATACCAATTTTGGAATGACTGAATTACACACCAGTTTCCCAGTGTCATCAAGGGATACAAGAAAGAAAAGGGTATTTAAGGATCCACAAACCCTGACTGTTAACTGCTTTAAAACTTATAATATGAACTGATACAGACTTCTCATGTGACAGAAGTTCTGTTCCATTTTTAAAAGCATTCAATTCCAAGTTGTTCTCAGTAATCAATCATAATTCATTCAATGAGATTGTTAGAAAAAAATTCTAGATGAAGTGCATTAAGGCGAATTTGCTTTAAATCATCTGTCTTGGCAATGTTTTGATTCATATTATGACTACACAGTATGTTTTTATACGTAAGTTTTCTCTGCTCATGCTAAAAATAACATGGCTATTTTAGGGGGTTTCTACTTACAGCTCTTTTCATAAATCACTCTATAGACGAGCACTACTAGAATTACTAGCAGCATATGCCTTCATCAGGGTATTACCTTTCTACGCAGTCTGACAGCCTGGATGTTAAGTTTGATGCCGGGGCATCATGACCACCTATTGCATACAAGAACCCATTCCAGGTGGTTACACCTACACCACCTCTTCTTTTTGACATCTGAGCGCAGGGGGTCCATTTGTTTGTATGAGGATCAAAACATTCTACTGATTTAAGACAAGAACTTCCATCTCGACCACCAACTGCATAAAGCCTACAAAGTAAAAAAAAAAAAAGTAAATAAATATTGTCTGAAGAAAAAAAGTTTACAGTGATGTATGAAGTTTGTTAAAAAGGCAAGTTTAGAAGATTTTCAACTTCCAATAGAAAGTTCTGTTACAAAAACTCAGATAAGATTTTACTCCAATCTTTTCGTATTGTCACAATCAATGCATTGTAATGATAATTTACAGAAAATTGATATCTATAACACAGCATTTACATTCCAACCTATACATCTAGCTAACATTTTCAAAATTACTTACGTGACTTGACAGACAAAGGCCCATTTCTAGCAGGGTCAGAGGGACAAATTCAGTAGTGGATCTGTGCACGCAACAATGCTGTCCTGCCTCATCTTAGGCATCCAAGTATTTTTCTGGACGTGGGCTTGAGTTTATGAATGGCAGTGCTACGTTAAGTCCCCAACACCCACTAGGTGGCCTAGTTTGCTCAGGTCTAACAAAAAGGTTGCTAGCATTTGGTACTAACAAAGGATTTCAACTTTTTGGAAAGGCTATAAGGAAAAGATTGGTTTTAGAAGCACTCCATCACTGATGAATCTTTAAAACTAACCAAATAATCAAACCCGACAAACAGTTTATGCACAAAGTTTATGAGCCATCTATGCTTAGAAGCAGAAATGCCCAGCACTATTATTTGGAAAGGTAGAAACTCAGAAGCCATTCTAAAAAGGAAGCAACTGATCAGAAGTAAAGTCCAGTTTGAGAGATCACCTGAAATATCATTAATTAAATCCTTTCATAGCCTAAGGCACATTATAGTATGGTTAAATAATAAAATAAACACTAGATGCTGTACACAATGACAGTGTGAACAATTTACAACAGTCACTGTGAAGCACTACTGAAGATGTCCTCAGTTTGGGAAGCACAGTCGTTTGGTTTTTTAAATATCCTGACCAACAAACTTAAATACAGACCTCTTATAAATATGGTAGACCTAGTAGTTCTCAGTAATAATTTTAATACCCTTTAAAAAAAATACATTTCCATAGAAGATCCCATGTTTACTAACACAATTTGTTTAAGGTAAGGAATGTACTGAAGGATATTAAAAAAAATTCTACTGCAGTTCCAAAAAGTTTATGACTAAAAATCAATCCTTTATGCAACACAGCATTTAAATGAAGCCCCCACCTTACCTCCCCCCAAAACATGACAGAGTTTGATCACTTATGCAGTGATTTCACTTCTTGGACATGGAGAAAGATATATTAATCTCTCTATATGAAGGTTTTGAGAAATAATCTGAAATATATCAAGTTACAGATAGATATTACTAGAAAGCACAGAAGTTATGCTCCCCCAGCTGAAATGCTGCATGCACTTTTAAGCTTTTTAGCTATAGGCATCTAGTGTTGCTGCTGACATTTAAGAGTCTAGGGAATGTTCTATAATAATAAATGTGAGGCTCTAATTCTGGTGCTTTTTGCCACATCTGGGACCCTCTGCTGAATATATAGGAAGCTTCAGAGCTAACTTAAGTCTGCAGTTCGAAGGCACTCTGCTTGCTGACTGTTTAAGTTCTTCCCTCCTTCCTGCACCCAGTGAGCATTTCCACTCATTTGTGGACTTGTTCCAGATCAAACAGGATGCTTCGTAGGTGCATTTCAGCTGTAATAATTTAGCAGGAGACTAACCTTCCAAAAAAAAAAAAAGCGTGAAAAGCTATTTTCTACCTTACGATATTCAAACAGCTCAAGGGAGATGCGTCAGATAGTACATAAGCAGGAAGTGAAAATTTGTGGTGAAAAGAGCGTAAATATTCTGCCACAACCACAATACTACTCAGCAAATTGAGTTAAGCTTTGTCTACTATGGTATTCCTGTAGCCACCCTGACAAAATATGGTTTGGATAAGACCACTACAAGGCTGGTGGAAAACTGGAAGGATTACTGGGCTCAAAGGGCTGTGATCAGCAGTATAAAGTCCAGCTGGCAGCTGGTTACTAGTGGTGTTCCTCCCAGGCTGATAATGTGGCTGATACTGCTCAATGTCTTCATTAATTATCTGAAAGATGTAATGGAAATTAGCCTTAGTAAGTTTACTGATAACATCAAATTAAGGGGAGCTGCTGATATGCTGGAGGGCTTGGTTATTATGCAGAGGGACCTAGACAGGCTGGAAAAATGGGCTGACTATAGTCTCATGAAGTTCAGCAAAGGCAAATGCAAAGTCCTGTACGTGGGATGGCATATTCCTGTGCAATAGTACAGGCTGGGAGCTGACAGGAGAGGAGGCAGCTTAGCAAAAATAGACTTGGAAGTCCTGGCAGACAAGAAGTCAGCAGTATGCCCTTGGAGTAATCATAGAATCATAGAATGGTTTGGGTTGGAAGGGACCTCAAAGATCATCTAATTGCTGTTACTCCATCATAAAAGGCCACCAGATTTGTCAGGCAGGATTTTCCCTTCGTGAAACCATGTTGGTTGCCACCAATTACCTCCACACTTTCCATGTGCCATAGCAGAGCCTTCAGGATGATCTGCTCCATGATCTTGTCAGGGACAGAGGTGAGACTGACCGGCCTGTAGTTGCCCGGGTCTTCCTTTTTCCCCTTTTTTGAAAAGGGGGTGATGTTTCCCCTTTTCCAGTCAGTGGGCACTTCACCAGACTGCCATGACTTCTTAAACATGATGGAAAGTGGCCTTGCAACTTGGTCTGCTAGTTCTCTCAGGACCCGTGGGTGGATCTCATCAGGCCACATGGACTTGTACACCTTCAGGTTCTTTAGATAGTCATGAACCTGATCTTCACTTACAGTGGGCGGATCTTCCTTCTCCCAGTCCCCGCCTTCGGCTTCTGCAGCTTGGACAGTGTGGTTAGAGCCCTTGCCAGTGAAGACTGAGGCAAAGAAGTCATTGGGGACCTCGGGGACCTCAGCCTTCTCCATGTCCCTTGTGGCCAGTTCTCTTGTTTCCTCCCGGAGATGGCCCACAGCTTCCCTGGTCTTCCTTTTATCACTGACATACCTATAAAGCTTTTCTTGTTACCCTTGATGTAATACCTGATGAAATACCCTGGCCATATTTAATTCTATCTGGGCTTTAGCTTTCCTTACCTGATCCCTGGCTGCTCAGACAACTTCTTTGTATTCTTCCCAGACTACCTGCCCTTTCTTCCAGTTTCTGTAAATTCTCTTTTTGTCTTTAAGTGTGTCCAGGAGTTCCCTGTTCATCCACACAGACCTCCTGGCATTCTTGCCTGCCTTCCTCTTTTTTGGAACACATTGCTCCTGGACTTGGAGGAGGTGGTCCCTGAATACGGATCAGCTTTCTTGGGTCCCTCGTCCCTTCAGGGCTTCATCCCATGGTATTCCACTATAATGACAACTGATCCTGTTTATTCAGTACATAGAAGACTGCTTCTGGATACTGTGTCCCGTTTTGGGCTCTCAGTACAAGGAAGATGTTCCTATACTGGAGCAAGTCCACCTGTTGGTCACTAAGATCATGAGGCAGCTAGGACACATGACCTCTGAGAAGAGGCTGAGCGCGCTGCCTTTGTGCAGCCTCAAGAATTCTTGAGACAGCTAAGGAGGCATCTTGCTGCTCTCTTAACCACCTAATGAGAGGTTATATAGGAGACAGAGCCTTCTCAGAAGTATGCAGTGAAAGGAGGAAGAACAAGAGACAAGTTCAAACATGGGAAATTTCAACTGGATATTAGAAGAAAAATGATTAATACAACGGTGGTCAAACATTGGAACATGTTGCCCAGAGAGGCTGTTGAATCTCCATCCTAGGAGATATTCAAAACTCAGATATGACCTGAGCTACCTCAGTTAACTTTGAAATTAGATCCAACTTTAAGGTTGGCCCTGCTTTGAGTTGGTGTTGGATCAGCTGACTCCAGAGGTCCTTTCCAATCCAAATTATTCTATGATTCTGTGATTCCAACTGATCTTTATTTTTGCAATAGCTTGATTCAAGTACCACTTGTATTTTGGGATGCTATAGAACAATTACACTTAGTCCAAAGGAAAACAGTGAAAATCACTTGAAGTCTAGCAATCATGGCCTACAAATAAAAACTGAAGGAGCTGGAGTTACTCAGTCCTGATAACAGAATACTGAGGGGACACCTGTCTTTAAATACAAAAGGCTGTTGCAAATAGGAAAGCAAAGATGCATTTTCCGTGTTCGCTTTGGATAGTACAAACAATAATAATATAAATCAGCAAAAGGTATTTAAAAGACTTTACATGAGGAGAACTTCACAATTGTATTAATAGTTAAACTGTCTGCTTAGGTAAGTTACAGAAACTTTACCACTGGAGGTTAAGAACAAGATCCCTCTGGCTATGAGTGTTTCAGATATATTTGATTCAGCTTTGGGGTAGCAGAATAGATGAGGGAACTCGAGGTGACTTCCAGCCATTTCCTTTGACTGCAACATAAAATGACCTAGTTGTCTGAATATGCTTTGTATTAGGAATTACACATACTTTAACTGAAAAACAGGTGTAGAAATTTTGGATAACACTCCATATTAGATTCATTCTGCCAGAGCTTACTGTTCTGAGTTAATGCAATATTACATGGGTACTCTTCCACGACTTTACAATAATTTTGGAAGTTGACTGTTCAAACTATCACAGTAAGAGGAAATCACTGAAGTCTCAGTGAAACAGAACAACCATTTGCTCCTCTCTGTACTAAGGAGACGGTAATTACTTATAAACCCATACAGATGGTGTCTCATAAGCAATACTGAGAGGCACTGTGATGCTGTGGGGAAGCTTGCTTGACCCAACACAGTATCTTTTCTGTGAATGAAGAAACTTAATGCTATCAATGGGTATCTATCAAGAGAAATTATTAATAGTTATTCAGGATGGTCCTGTAATTACATTAAAATAATGAGATAGAGAGTGGAAGTTGCCTTCACATACTTTCCATTTAATATTGCTACACCAACAGTGCTCCTTGGAGTTGACATACTAGCTACAAAGTTCCACTGACGAGCCTGTGGATCCCATCTTTCTACTGTATTCAGGTAGCTCCAGCCATCATGTCCTCCTACAGCATACATGGGACCTTCCAATACCGCTACTCCTAAAAAAACAGATATAAAAACCAATCACTTCTAGACTGGGGGAAAAAAGATCACATTCTCCTAGTGTCAGTCCAGCATGCACCACAAAATATTTAAAAACAAATAAAAAGAAATCTCCTTTTGGTAGCCAATTCTGGATACAGTCTGAAGGAGAAAATATGTTCAATAAGCAGTTGGCATTAAAACAAAGTTTCCACCCTGCTAAACTTAATTTCTGAATGTTTTTTGACCAATCCTAAAACTAATAACCTTTTAAAAATATGCAATTGGCCTTTACAGAGCTCTACATACCAAGACCATGACGATGAGTGGACATAGGTGGCATTACACTCCACGTTTTAGTTCTAGGGTTATAGCACTCCACAGTATTCAATGTTTTCAATCCATCTCTGCCACCAACAACATACAATTTATCATCTAAGACTGCAACTCCAAACTGTAATCTTCGTCCATTCATGTTTGCAACAGGAGTCCACATGTTGGTACGAAGTTCATACTTTTCAATGCTTGTAGCACCTGAGTGACAATATATGCAAGTTAAAAAAAAAACTATTTTTTTTTTTGTGGGTTTTTTTTTTCAGCAATATGCTGATCCCACAAGACAGCATGACATCCTGCAGCATGTTCTTAATTCTATGTATACAACCAGTCTTTTTTGACTTCCTTGGGAATTAACTGCACCATTATAAAGGAGGACTTTCTCAGTGCTTTTCAAGACAAAAAGCAGGATTTCTAACTACTTTGCAGAATTAAGCCTTTATAAATACAATCGTTAGGAATATAAAACAACCCTTGTGAAATGCAAATATATATTGAAATCAACTGTTTTGTAATATTAGAAAAAAATCTGAAGCTATGTGACATGAAGAACTAAAAGTGCTAACTTCAAAAGAATAAGCGAAAGAAACCACTTCTCTAACTTGCCATATTCCTTCTAACCATCAAGGAAGTGCCTATAAAAAAGAAAATCCAAGTAGCTCTGACAATAAAAATTTAACAGTTAGTCAAAAAGCATATTTTTGGCGTTTTTTTAATGCATGTGCAGGTCACCTTTGTGCCCTTTCTGTCATTTTCTTTCTTTTCTAAATTACTTCCCACTCAAGTAAATAAAGATTAGCTTTCCCTCAATTCAGACTTTCACTACTCAGAAATCAGATATTTTTTTGATAATTTAAAAAAAATCATAACTCTAGCTTCCAGAATGTTTACAGTATTATCAAAGCTACATAGGTTTTTAACCTAATAAAGTGTATATTTAAGAAGTTTCATGTTCTATACTGCAGAATTAGCATTAACATGTTGTAAAAACATCTACCAAACATTTTTATTTTTTAAAGAATCAAAACAGCTCATCAACTAATCATTATATAAGCCAATACCTTTTGTTGCATCCATTCCTCCAACTGCGAACAACACGCCCACTGTAGATTTTCTAGGTTTGGTGCGAGGACTTTGCAACATAGGTCGTCTCTCTGGCAACAGATGGTACTTCATTGCTTCCATAATAAGTTTTTGACATTCAATGTCATCCCTAAAGAGTGCATTATTTTCCATATCTGCCAGAAACTGTGAAAAAGAAAGAAAATTAAACAAGCTGTATTGCTATAAAGCACATGAAGAACAAAAACATTACAAGAAAACATTTTCATAGAATCATAGAAAGGCTGGGTTGGGAGGGACCTTAAAGATCATCTAGTTCCATGCCCCTGCCATGGCAGGGACACCTTCCACTAGACCAGGTTGCTCAAAGCCCCATCCAGCCTGCCCTTGGACACTGCCAGGGAGGGGGCAGCCACAGCTTCTCTGGGTAACCTGCTCCAGAGTCTCACCAAACTCACAGCAAAGAATTTCTTCCTTATATCTCATCTAAATCTCTCCTCTCTCAGTTTGAAACCCTTACCCCCTCATCCTATCACTACATCCCCTGATAAAGAGTACCTCCCCATCTTTCCTGTAGGCCCCCTTGAAGTACTGGAAGGCCACTAGAAGGTCTCCCTGGAGCCTTCTCTTCTCCAGGCTGAACAACCCCAACTCTCTCATTCTCTTCTCATAGGAGAGGAGTTCCAGTCCTCTGATCATTTTTGTGGCCCTCCTCTGGACTCACTCCAACAGCTCCATGTCCGTCTTGTGTTGAGGGCTCCACAGCTGGATGCAGTACTCCAGGTGGGATCTCAGCAGAGCAGAGGGGGAGAGTCCCCTCCTTCGACCTGCTGACACTTCTTTTGATGCAGCCCAGAATGCGGTTGGCTTTCTGGACTGCAAACACGCATTGCTGGATCATGTTGAGCTTCTCGTCAACCAACACCCCAAGTCCTTCTCTGCAGGGCTGCTCCCAATCCATTCTCTGCCCAGCCTGTATTTCTGCTTGGGATTGCCCCAGCCCAGGTGCAAGACCTTGCACTTGGCCTTGTTGAACTTCATGAGGTTTGCACAGGCCCACTTCTCCAGCCTGTCCAGGTCCCTCTGGATGGCCTCCCTTCCCTCCAGCCTGTCAACTGCAGCACACAGCTTGGTGTCGTCAGCAAACTTGATGAGGGTGCACTCAATCCCACTGTTCATGTCACCAACAAAGTTGTTAAACTTGTTGCACTGGTCCCAGTACTGACTCATGAGAAACGCCACTTGTCACCAGTCTCCACTTGGACATCGAGCCATTGACCATGTAGCCATTGACCACTACCCTCTGGATGAGACTGTCCAACCAATTCCTTATCCACTGAACAGTCCACTTGTCAAATCCATATCTCTCCAAGGAGAAGGATCTTGTGGGGGACTGTGCCAAATGCCTTACAAAAGTCCAGATAGATGACATCCATAGCTCTTCCCTTGTCCACCGATGTAGTCACTTCATCATAGAAGGCCACTAGGCTGGTCAGGCAGGACTAGGCACAATTTGCCCTTAGAGAAGCCATGTTGGCTGCCACCAATCACCTCCTTATTTTCCAAGTGCCTTAGCATATTATCCAGGGGGATCTGCTCCATGATCATGATTTTATCCAAAGATTTCCACTGCCTGATTTAAAAAACTATGTATTCCCTAGAGTGCAAGAGCTCGCTATTCCCACCAGTAAGAAATCAGGCAAGCAAGGCAAGAGGCCGGTATGGCTAAGTCAAGACCTGCTGGTCAAACTAAAGAGGAAGAAGGAAGTGTACAAGCAGTGGAAGCGGGCACAGGTATCCTGGGAAGAGAATAGGGATGCTGCCATTCTGTAGGGATGGGGTCAGGAAGGCCAAGGTGCATCTGGAGCTGAACTTGTCAAGGGATGCAAAGAATAATAAGAAGGGCTTCTACAGGTATATCAACCAGAAAGGGAAAGTTAAAGAAAGCATCCCCCCCTGATGACCAAGACTGGCAAGCTGGTAACAATGGATGAGGAGAAGGCTGAGGTAATCAACAATTTTTTTGCCTCAGTCTTCACTGGTAATCTCTCTTCTCACACCTCTCAAGACAGAGACTGGGTGAGCAAAGTCCCTCCTACTGTCAAAGAAGACCAAGTTCATGACCACCTGGGGAACCTGAACATACATAAGTCTATGGGACC